CTTAATCAGAATATTTATTCTATTCTACAAAATAATCATATCACTAGAAAGCTAATATTATTTATAAAATAACTATAAAATTAATTTTGTACTTAAAATAATTTTTAAATGCTAATCTAAACAGGAAAGTTAGAACATACCTGAAGAAAAAGAAAATAATCCCCCCTTGCGAGAAAACGCCGAGCAATGTGAGAGGAAGAGAGAAAAAAATATAAAAATGAGATTGTGGGTCCCAAAATTATATTAAAAAATTATAGGTTTGGATTTAATTATTCAAACCTTTAGGCCATGACTTGCAATTTTCACAAATTACATCTTGGGCCCTTAGTTGCAATTTTCACAAATTGCATAAATTTTTCTTTTTCTTCCTTTTGCTCCTCCTGGTGCCTCCTCTTTTTATATGTGAGTAGGCATCTCACCTTCCCACATCTAATCGATGTGGGACTTCTACAGTGCCTCTCTCTCTTTTTTTTTTACTTCAACCATTTTTTTTATTGTTTTTTTTAAACTCACACACACACATAAATTTTTTTTAAATCTTAAAATTATATTTTAACAAAATATTTCTTATATAATTTTAAACCTAAGTTTTAAATTCACAATTAAATTTCTAACTATATTATTATTTCTAAATAATTTCAAATAATATAAATTCCTATTATTAACTTAAATTTTATATTTTTTTATCTAAAAATTAAGATGTTACATGGAACATATTTTTATGCATTGTATAAAAACTAAAAGAGTAGAAAATTAACCCAAAATAGGAATATTATTTTTCATTTCATGATATTTTCATTTTATACTCTTTTACATGAAATACACTTCTCATTTAACCCAAAACTTACTGGGATATTTTCATGTGTTTGAGTTTTTAATCTTGGGAAAACATAATTATCAAATCTTATAATTTCATTAGATTTTTCTTTTAATTCTTATAATTTTTTTAATATTTTCAGTCTCTATAATTTTAGCAAGATTGAATGACATTTATTATTCATGTCTCTATAGTTTTAGTGTTTTCATTTCTATAAGGACTGAAAACACTTAAAAAAAAAACTATAAGAACTAAAAATGAAACTTGATAAAATTATAAGAATTAATAATTATATTTTCCTTTTAATTTTTAAACATAATTGAAAATATCATAAAGGGAACAGAAAAACAATGAGGTTCATGCTTATAAATATAATTAAGAAAAAAGCCTTAAGATGCATTGTTTGCTTTGTATATATTTTCATTCATGGCCTAGAGCCGGTGGTCACTTCAATTTAAAAAAAATATATAAAAATAAATTTAAATTTTGAAAAAGTAAACCAGAAAACAAATTTTATTCGATAACAAAATACTATAAAATTAGGAAACAATGAACTTGATTGTTGTTTCGGTAAAATACTTCCGTGCAGATGAAACGCGTAGGTTGCTTCGAGTTAAGATTGACGGATTAGGTGCGCACTAAGTAGGTGAAGACATTTAAAAAAAAAAAAAATCATTTCATGACATGAGGACGCACGAGCTCGTCAAGGTCGCAATTTAGATGATGGGAAGATTAGGTAGCTTACCACCTTTCAAGAGGATTCTCGCATCTCTACAAATATTATATTCTTCATTTCATTCTTCCCAGACAAAGCATGGGAGAACGGCACTTGAACTTTCCATCTCAAAGAAATTAGTACCTAAGCCTAATACATTTAGAATTTATTCCGTGGGCTCAATAGAATTTTCATATATAACATAACTACGTTTATACATTGCTAATATAATATTCCTTAATTATATGTAGTCTGCATAGCTTAGTTGAACAATAATATATAAGTTCCTGAGTACGTAAACAACACAATTTTCATAAATAATAGGACATGATCTATACACTAACAACATAATGTTTATTCATTATATACAGTTCATGTGATTTTGTTAAACAATAATGTACAAATTTTTTGGGTGCATAAACAACAAAATGTTATATAACATGACAAAGTCCAAATATTAGTAATACAATGTCCTTCACATGATGTTATTTTTTTAAACAAGTGGCAAATGAGTCTTTTCACACCAAAAAAACATACTTGCATATAAGACTTTTAGGCCTGTAAAATAAATTCAAAATATATTAGATCTGACATGCTAATTCTTTAATCTAAAAACCCTTAGGTGCTATTCTCCCATAAGCATTTCAAATTATGTATATTTCCTTAAAATACTAAAACATTTAATAGAAGAAGCGTCATGCTTTGACGGGCAAAAATTATTATTGTTATTATTATTATTATTTTGCAAGGAACATCTAATGTGCTGAGTATGTTCTATATCAAATTGAGGGAACTTAACAAGGATCCAAACTAATCCAAATCCAGTGGGAATAAAACTCTTTCAAGCAAAAGCTTTACTACCAACATTATCACATTCATGAAACTCAAATTTGAGACCTTTGGTCAAACTGATACAATTCCTTTACAAGTTTAACCAAGTGTGCCGTGATTGAGGGGCCAAAATAGTTGGGAAGATCCAAATCCCTTGTTAATGATATCACACAACAAACAGTATTCAGAATATAAAGTTATATATGATGCATCAGCTTTCGCTGCCAGGCAACAGCATCACAAATTGAAAGAGGATAATGAAGGGGACTAACACCAGTCTTTTGAAAATAACATTGTAGTCACCCAGAAAGGCTATGATCTGAGATAAGGCGCAGAGAATAAGAACAAAAGCTAAGAAAGATCCTTCGCATGTAAATATGATCTAATCTGTTGCTCCTCTACCGGGTCCATTCAGTCCCCCCCCCCCCAAAAAAAAAAAAAAAACACACAAATCCTGTTAGAACTTTTCATCGGTACACGAGTCTTGGTGAGTTCAGTTTTAGCACTCATCAGCAAAACCCTCACATTACAACATCATTCAAATACACACCTATAATCTTCTTGATGAACCTACAAACACAGAAGAAAGGGAAGATTATAAAGCAAAGACATCCCAAATGATATTTTATGTGAGGATCCATTAACTAAGTGTAGATAATTAGCTCAAAGATTGGATAGAGTATTACTTAGTTAACAGATCACGTGGTTATTGGTGGATTCTTGACGCAGGTACTTTGTGTCATAGCCTATCAAGAAAACAAAACAGCGGCGCCAGACAATCATATCATGCAAGACCATTCTCCAAATTATACATAAACACTTCTGTGTCTGTGTTGATATCCATTTCTCTTTGACTATAAGCAAAGGTCCTTATTTGGTGTTCATCACAATGATAAATTTTAAAAAATGAGATAATTCATTTTGAATCTGAGTAGTCTAAACAGTAATAACATTTTGGATAACTAAACTACTGACGCTCTATTTGATATATTGGAAGAGTTTTTGATGAAATTAGAATCAGAATTAAAAATGAAATTATAACCAAAATTAGAATAAAATTGAATTTTAAAAAGGTGCTTGGTATGAAAATGAAATCTTATATAATTTTAATAAATATAAATATATATATATATATATATTTAAAATAGGAAAAGACCAGAGTGCCCTCTTCCCAAAATAAAAAAGACATTCCCCGTCCCTTTCATCTTCCCTCTCCTAATTTGGTGCACAAAACTAGTGATGACCACCACTAAACCCGCCCCAACCTTTTTGCACAATCGCACAAAATTTGCAGCAATCATTATATACAAAAATCAAGTGAAGATTGATGCTTGCTATGCACAATTAACACCAAAGAAGTGGTGGCTGGGGGAGAATGAAGGTGGAGGTCGGAGAAGCTCATCTTCTTGTTCATCAGTAGTGAATGATTCATTGCCTGGCAAGCGACAGATAAAATAGAAGGGGAAGAAGACAAAGGAGAGGGAGCCACTGATCAAGAAATCAAAACCTCTCACGCCCATGAAATGGCCAGTCGGTGGGCACAGAAGAGGCGGAGGCAGTGGTTGCAGGTCACGACAGTGGTGGATCATGATGGTGCTTCCATCCTTTACCATTGCCAACAACAAAGCGATGAAGCTGGGGATCAAGCAAATTTCGACTGCGGATCAAAGAGTTGAAGGGTAGGAGAAAAGATTGAATTCCAAGGAGTTTACTCCGATTCCATAGACAGAGTAATGGAATCTGATTTTGCCTTTTTCCCTTGAATCAGGATTCCCAATAATCCTGATTAATGTGTACCAAATGTTACTCTATCCAGATTCCCACCCATTCCTTTTCCATAGTCAGGATTCTGCACTACCAAACGGTGCCTAAGAGCATTTCACTCCCAAGAACTTCTGAGAATGAGATATAATCAGCTCTGTGAACCTATGTAGTCCGAACGACAACAGGCGCGTTTGATAAGACGTGATCTTATGATGTTTGCAACATGTTATCAAACACGCCTGCTGTCCTGGTGAACTACTGTCCAGGGTTGAGTCATGTCTTCCTAAGGATTCGTGTGAGATAATCATTTCTAGATCTGGCTACTCTGAAACAAGATGCCCTCTAAAGGTGTCTGACAAGATGAATGGGATGATTTTTCATGCAACAAGCTGTTCTATCTGAATATCCAAATATGATCACGACATAGTTATGATTCATGTCTGCCCTCAAAATACACATATAATCTATTCTACAGCACGAATGCTGAATCATACTGAGTATAGGTGAGTGGAAAATTCTAGGTCAAGGAGGGAAACGGCAGACTGAGATCAAACCCAACACTTCAATTAACATATATCCCAATAAAGTTTGATTTTTTAGACTCCAGTGTCAACTTGGGAAGATTATCAGTAAGCAGAAGTCAAGAAAAGTATTTGACTAACCGACTAACCGACTAACCATGGGCAGGGCACAAAATGCAAGTCTACAATATAATAACAGGAATAAATTATAACACTATCCAGCTTTGCAATACGCATGATTGAAGATTTTTGGCCTCATTTTCCTTGTACTACATGTGAGAAAAAATAATGAAGTCCAATAAGCTGATATTAATTTAGCTGCTATTGAATGAGCTATCCAAGGCAGAGCAGATGCAATAACTCTACAATTGATATAATGTACTGGAATAAACAAGATCATTAACATATAACAAATAACAATCATCGATTGATTACAATATACTACAACTAGAAATATGTACAAAAGTTACCAAATTCAAACACAGCTCAGTTGCATGAGAACAATGCACTGCGGTATGCATGTGCAGAAAACCATAATGGAAGTGTTGAGCTATACTTCACAGAATACATCTCTTTCCAAATTCGGGTCTTGTGATGATAAACCAAAACCTGCTTATGAGTTGCCAGGAGAATATATTCACTTGTCTGACTTATTGGAAAGATTCCAGGCACCATCCCTCTGATACACCTCAGACTCACCTTATCCACCATAGACCACTCTTCTTTCCAGTAATCATTTAGGACCCATATGTTCATCCAAGCTTCTGAAATTTGAATAATGGACAGGCAACCATTAAGCTCTAGGAGATATATTCTGTGTCCCATTCCATAAATCACATCATATGGCAATTGCATCTTTCTCCAAAGGTCACAACTTAAATCAAGCACAAGTATGTAAGCTGAATTAACAGTCAACCAATGCAGGGAATTATTGAAAAGAACAGCTTGGTTTTTATTCATGTGAGAGAAATGATCATCTTGGAATGAAATGAACTTTCTCCACTTGTTCAGCTCTGAATCAAACACTAAACATATGAAACTTCCATCTGAACGATGACCAAAGGTGCGATGGTAGCCTGCTAGGACAACTTTAAACTTCTGATGTGTCAAATCACAGGCCAAACCAACCAGTGTTGCTTCACCATCCGGATAAAACCGAGTCACAGGCCTTTCCCTACTCTTGGGCAGCAACTTAAACTCACGAGTCATTGGATTACAGACGTAGTAAACACCTTTGTCAGGAATGCTGGAGCAACATAATAAGCCACAACAAGATGCTCTAACCTTAACTCTATCATTCAAAAATGCCAGAGAAAGTTCAGAGACACCCCTTAATTTATCAACACAAATCAAGCTAGATTTTGACTCTGATGCGTCTGAAATGTCCACAAGGATCATAGGGTTCTTACTAGATATTTCATTGTAGAGTTGAATGAAATACTTGTCCGAGGACAATCTATTCCAGAGTTTACACACGGTTTTGCTCCTAAAAAGGGACTTGATGGGCAACCTTGCAAGAATCTGAATAACAACTTCCTCTGGGAAAACCCCGTCCCTTCGCATATTCATGATTGAAACCCCTAATGCGCAAACAAACCTGGAATTTTGAAACGAAAACCTGTAACTTTACGGGCTCTTCTTACCGTGACAAAATTCGGGGATGGGCATCGGATGAAATCCCACCTGAAGAAATGGAGACGGACAGATTTTAGCTTGTGAATCGCAATTTAAAAGGAGAAAATCGAATTCATTCATCATTTTTCACAACATATCGAAACAAACGCATTCAACTTGGAGCAAAAATACATCCGAGAAAATAAGGAAGAATTGTGAATGGGTGGATCAAGCTAATGAAAAATTCGGAGAGGATGAAAATTCAAGCGGAAATGTGGACAGTGTTGCTGAAGATAAAGAGGCGACAAAAGTGAGAGAGAAGGGAATCGAAGGACCACCGGAACACGCAGACAGTAGACGAAATATAAGCAGCTGACGGTGGTGATGACGATGTGATTACCGAGGGATCATTGGACCAGCTCGTCGCAATTCCGTAGTTTCTTGGGCTTGTGGAAAGAACAAAACTTTTGAAACAGGCCACAATCAAGGTGAAATGGATTGGGCTGAAACATGGCTTTTCTGAGTTTCTTTCATATACAACATGGTAGCCCCACAATGGGAAATAACCTCCCCGAAGGGACAATGCTTCCCGGATGCGTTGACCAATATATATATAGAGATATATATATATATATATATATAAATGCATTTTTAGAAAATGGTTTAATTTTATTTTAATAGGCAACAAACAATCACCACGCCTTGTATTATTATTTTCGGCCAAAAATAACATTATTCTCTAAATGATTCTTTTCGGAAAACAAATAAACAATGCCGTTTATATATAAATTATTTCTTAATAAATAAAGTCAATGTTCAAACTCGCGTCACAAGGCTCTGATTAAATTGCTTGGCAAAAAAGGAAGTATATAAATAAACGGGTAAATGAGTAAACTATTTTATAAATTTTAGATTAAATAGAATCATAGATTCTCAAATTATTTATTGTGTAAATTATTTTTTAAACTTTTAAAAAGAGTATAATCTAATTTCTATGGTTAATAAAAATTAATTTTAACTATTAGTTAATGATATAAAAGAATGTAAAAAATTATATAAAAGACCCAAAAAAATCATAAAAGGACCCAAAAGATTAACATTTGTATATTTAGAATCAAAGTTAACTTTTGTTAAAGTAGGGGCTAGATTGCATATCTTCAAAAATTAAAATAATAATTTACACAATAATTGAGTCCAGAGCTTATTATAACCTAAAGTTAATAGGATAATTTGCTAATTTGTCCTAAATAAAATATTATTAACTCTTGTAACAAAAGAAAGATCATATTATCAGCTCAGATTACAATATGTGACTCCAACGGATCAGCTTGATAGAGAAAATTAAGTAAATTTTTAATCTTTTATTATAGCTAAAAAATTGTCTTTCATTATATATATATATATATATATACACATTAGTAAAATATATTAATCATATGATTAAATCTGTTAAAATTATATAAAATTTATAACATTTTACAAAATTTATTAAAAAATATAAAAATAAGTTACATGAATGTTATTCGACGTTTTGTTAAAATTACGCAGATCCTGAATCATTTTATTCAAAAAAACATCCTTGTATAATTTAAAGATAAAATTAAAGTATGTAATTTAACAAATCTTAAAATGTTTTTGTAATTAATAATTATGATGGTTCTAAAGTATTTGTATAGATCTCCCAATGAGCTTCATTGATGTTGGAGCAATGTAATTTTTCGCCTTTCTTTTATATTTTATAATGACACAACATCTTTTTATTTAAAAAATAAAAAAAGTAATTAATGTTCTCTAAAATTATATCAAAATTCAGAAACAATAATTGTATTGAGTTCAAAAACAGAAAATAAATAAATTATCACAAACTTTTGAGAATGCTTGGGCAGTATTTATTTTAAAGAAATATTTATCATTACCGATATAGAATTTTGATGTCAAAATGAACAATGAGCCATGAATATGCTCAAGATTCCACCATTGTATACATTGGACAATGCCAAAACTTTCTATAAAACAACGACCATATATAAGTATCATTACCCTCACACGGATTGGTTCAAAGTTTCAATCTTTTTTATTCCCGGAAGCTCTCAAGACTCCAAAAAACCATCAACCATGTCCTTGGTCACAGAGGAGCTGAAGACCAGAGCTGAGGTGTACTATGGAGGCCAAGTTTGTAGAGACAAGTTCTCATTATTGCTGGCAGAGATGGGGCTACCAGGCGGCCTCTTGACGACGACGTTTAAGCAGAAGGAGGACAACATCATCCAGGAATGTGGGTTCGTAAAGGAGATAGGGTTTGTCTGGCTCAAGCTTCGTGAGAAGAAAGAGCACAGGTTCGACAACATCCTCGTATGCTTCGACACCGAGGTCACCGCATTCTTGGAGCCAAACAAGATCAAGAATCTCAGAGGCGTCAAAGCTAGGGACTTCCTGGTCTGGTTCACCTTGATCGAGATTTATGTGAGAGACCCTCCTCCTCCAGAAGGTTCCGTTGTCACCTTCAAGTCTCTGGTTGGCTTGTCCATGTCTTTCCCTGTGTCTCTCTTCAAATCAGACAAGGAACAACACAAAGAAGTGGCTCATCAGAGGGAAGCAAAAATGGTGGAGAAATGGTGGAAAACGATCAAACTGTGATTGATTAGGTTAAAAAAAAAAAAAAAACAAGAAGAAGAAGAAGAGAAATCTACATTATTATTCATCAGTAGAGACCGTGCTGACGTAATATTCTATAGTTTTTAATAATTTTTATTGTTTGAGTGAACCTCTTAGTCCTGGAATAACACAAGATGGGGTACCCAGAAAAGAATATGCTTTCTAGAGATATGATCCAGAATATGCTTTTGAGTTCAAGTGCTTTATTCTCTTTTTCTCAGCAAATCCGTCACGTAACGTTAGAGTGTGCCTTGTTGTGTTTATATATGCATGGCATCATAAGGAATATGGAAAGGTCATTGTCAGGAGAGAGCCTTATCGCTTCTATTGGAAAGCCATGTTCATGATGATGAATAATTGACGTGCAGGAGGGATTCCTGTGTTTCAAATTCAATCACCCTCTAAACCATTAGGAACTAGCTTCGTTTTATTGCCTTTTCTAATTGGAGAAAGTTAATTTCATTGTTATTTTTTAGTATAAATGTTAGGTTAATAACCACCAAGAATAGGACTGTTTTTCAATTGAGATTACGTAGATCCGAAAGAGACACGTACATAAATACACTGATACTAAGTAAAGTACACTTATTGTATATGCATTTTATAATTGTAAATGAGTACTCATGCGTACTGTTTTAATTTGCACCTCCGTTGCATATTGCTTTGGTGAAAGAAATATGAGCATTTTGGGTTTTCAAGAGGAAATGTTCGCGATAACTACATGTTGGTCTATATTAATTAATTAATGAGGTGTTTGATGTTAATTGAGAAAGAATTAATAATGAAAAGATTTATGATTGAATTGTTAAAAGACATTTTATTTATGCATATAATAATTTGTTTTAGTATTTATACTATAATAATATAACTAGTATGTCTGTATGTGGCCCATATAATGCACGGGATGTTGGCAATATAAATAATAGTTTAAATAAATAATGACACTTATGATATAGTTAAAATCAATTAAATTTAAAACAATCTTTAAAATAAATTTGAAAATGATGCTAAAAATTATTCTAACAGAAAAAATCACTAAAAGAATCTAATCTCTATATTATATCAGAATAATACTTCATAAATAAATGAGTCAATCTCGCTTGATTATTTTTAAAAAGTTTGTTAACCATAGCCAGACAATCATTGAATTGGTTTGTTGTCCATGGTGGAATTGCAGCATTTTATCATCTAACCCTGGCACTCATTTATCAAGATGATTTTGCTAAGAACATGATTTTCGGCTTGATAAATTAAATATTCTTCTATTCACAACGTCAATAAAAACAAACATGCATACTTGTACTGAAAATAAGAGAATAGGATAGCATTCGCCTTCTAAAAATTAAGAAAAAGCAATAAATGAGGAATAATTTTGAAATCAAAGTATTAGTTTTTGTCATGGCAAATTACTATCATCAATGTGCACCCAAAAGACATAATGGTCCTTTATTGTTGATGGTGACAAAGAGAAGTTAATTGTATCACCAAGATTTATAACCTTAAAATTAAAAAGGGATTTGATATTGGTAAGACTGAATAATGTCATCTCACATTTTTTTTAAAAAAAAAAACCTTTAAGAGAAAACATAGAATCATATAATAAATTGTGATTATGATTATAATTAACTGAAATGGAATAGAGACGCCAAATCATGACATCCATATACTCCTCTGGTTTTTAATTTCCAAGAAATCATTTATCTGTGCCAAACGGTTACCGAGATCAATCAATATATGAAGATGTGAAAAATTGGAATGAATAGAATGGTCGATCAATGAGAAGAACAAACTTGCACAATGCTAGAAAGGGGAATGGGATAAGCCCAGTTCTCTAGCTAGTGGCTATTGGACTACGAAGCCGCTTGACTGCAACGGGATGCAATTTGATGGAGCTTTGGTGCTAATTTAGCCCAACTTCAATGAAGAAATGATTGAAGATTCAAATTTGAAACACTAATCTCTAGCAAATAAGAGCAATGAGGTGATAGGTCTCTGGTTGGTTTGATATGGACGCGGAAGAAACTACAGAGAGGTATTTGAATTTAAAAAAGTACAATTGACCCACGTCCTATAAAATGTTGAGGAAAGGTTCAATGTGTAAAGAAGTGCTCCATGACAACTACTCAAAGCAATAAAAGGTGAAGGAGTTTAAAAAAAAAAAATTGTTTATGGGAGGGGATGTCATGGTACTAGAAAATTTTTAACATTTTTAATTTAAAATTCAAAATTATCAATTATTAGTTGAGAAATCATAATAATAGATTATATCACGAGAGAGAATATTTAGGGATAATGGCAAGTGGTTTCTAACAATTTTAAAACAATCACATTGTTGTTTTTTAAATATTTTTAAAAAATACTGACATGGATAGCTTAAAATTGCAGCATTTTTGAAATTGCACACATGTCAAGCATTTGCTTGCAATTATATATATATATATATATATAATATTTAATATTTATGAAAACTTTTAATGGGTTGATTTATTAATTACATTTGTAATTAATTATAGACATTCTTTATATCATATTTTATAATATTGAAAATTATTATCTTATATTTCCTTCATCCCAAGTTATAAGACAATTTGAGATGAAATTATGTATATCAATAAAAGTTAATAATAATATTTTATAGATTTATTTTTTTAAAATAAAATTATAAACTTTTAAAAATGTCCAAAAACTTAATCATTGTACTACAATGTCATTTCAATTCTCTATTCAGTTAAAGGATAATATAATTAAAAAAATATTATTAATGAAATATTATTTTTCTCAAATTGTGTTTTATATATATATATATATATATATATAACAAATATCTCTAAAGTTTTTGAGATTGAGAGGGTATATCATGTCCAAGTATACTTGTTTGTATCACTAATATCGGAGGGCACACTCTTATATTCACCGTGTTTATTTCTTATATTGTTTGCATTATAACTAATATAGCAAGTCCCGTGCACTTTTTTTTTTAATACTGGATTAAGATATCAATTAGATTTTTGATCTAATAATATGAATTAGCTTCCTCATACCCGTGGAAGGTCATGAGTTGAATTTCGCTGTCTACTTAACCATGTAATAATAAATATAAAAAAACTTTAGTCTAAAAATTTATACTCCCATTGTTAAAAAATATAAAGCAATTTTACTTATTTAAAATATAATCATTAAATTTTTTTAAAAGTACCTTATTAAATAAATTATTTTTTATTTATTTTAGGGTGAAATATCTTATTAAATAAGGATAAATATAAAAAAATAAGGTTAATTAAAAAGTAAATAATTACTTTATTGGAGGGTAAAATTCAATTAAAAATACCTTATATTTTTTAATGAAGGAAATATAATTTTTTTAACTCACACTTATTATATTTATATATAAAAATAAATAAACAAGTATCTTCTTATTTTAAATTTTAAGATTAGTAACACTATAAATTTTTAACTTATTTATTATATAAAATTACACCTTAACTTTTAAATTCATGTTTGATTGTCGTTACATTTTTTTTTTAGTGTGGCCCACTGTTTTAGACACGTGGCATTCAATCAAACCATCTTCTCTAAAGAAGTAACAATCAAATGCATTTTTACTTAGTTTTATTGGCGTTAAAGTGCTCAATAAAAAAGTTTATAATATTATTGAATTTAAAATTTAATAAATAATTTGCTCATTTTACCTATAAAAATTCATAAAACACACACGCAGCCAAATATTCTCAGCATAAATGGAGTATCCATATTTTTAAAAATATTGCAATCTTTGCTGTTATAAAAAGCATTGTAATTATTGTAATTTTTTAATTTTGATACTAATGTATTGTATTTATTATGAGTACGGAAAGATGATAATAATGTTATTTTTTTCTTGGTGAATGATAAGATTATTTTTACATTCCTTTCACCTTCTATAACAGGACACTTTTAATTATTTTATGTATAAATTTAATTTTTTCTTAATATCATAAAATATAACATCATATTAAATACTTTTTCACTAATAAAAAATAAAATAAAATAAATAATTTATAAAATATTTTATATTTTCAATTAAAAATTATATTTAAAAAGTATGCTCGGCAAGTGGTTATTAACATTTACGACATTCTCCCGCCAAATTGCCCCGGACTCCGCACAAAACCCGAACCTACGTCTCTGCGACTTCCCCAGAGGCATGTTTGGTCGAAGCAGGAAGGCTTCACTGGGAATGTTATTTTCGTGGACAAGTTTGCCCCTTTTCGACTTGCCCTACGGCGATGGGATATGTACTCCCCCACCTTCCTTCACCATCCGAAACGACCTGGACCCGTCAAGTCAATGCAAACCGCTCTGCTTCTCCAGACCATTGCCGACCTGGTGAGCAACCTGCTTCGAATTTTTTCTTTCTCGCCTTGATTTGTTATGGATTTTCGTTCCATAGACTTGGTATCGAATAGGATTTGTTCTTTTATTTATTTTTGGGTTTTCTGCTGTCTGCATTGATTCTTCTTTTTTTGGGTTGAGTTGCTATGGGTAGTAGGAATATGGGAACATATTGGAAGATGAAGGACTTATAATTTATGCCTTATGCTACCCCTTTTTACTTTTCCCTCTAATCCTGGTAAATAGTTAAGTAACAGAGCAGGAAGATGACCCGTTAGTAGGTTTGTGTGTAATATTTGTTTGTAGAAAGAACTGAAGCGGTCAAAAGTTTTCCATGTATTTACTCTGTTCATCTTTGTCAAAGATTTGCCGACATTTTAATTTTATATGTTAAATTTTGCACAGAGATGGACCTCGCAAGGAGAGAATTGGTTGTTCGTTTATTGATTTGTTGGTTGAGTGAAGTTCATGCGGAGCATGGATGGCTTTTCTCTATGTGTGGTGTTGTTGCTCTGTGGATGCGGAGACGTCGTTTAAGTGATGCCTCATCTTCGGTGAACTGTCGTTTAAGGAATGTCTCATCTTCCCTGAGCTGTCGTTTAAGTGATGTCTCATCAACTTCCACGAACTTCAATGCTAGGAGCGCTCACCTGAAGAAATTGGTTTGTAGTAGTGATGTCACTTGCTATAAGCTACTTAAAATGCATAGGAGAACATTTGACCAGCTCTGTCAAATGCTTGATAGTATAGGGGGACTAAAGCCTATTAATCATCTTCGGTGAACTGTCGTTTAAGGAATGTCTCATCTTCCCTGAGCTGTCGTTTAAGTGATGTCTCATCAACTTCCACGAACTTCAATGCTAGGAGCGCTCACCTGAAGAAATTGGTTTGTAGTAGTGATGTCACTTGCTATAAGCTACTTAAAATGCATAGGAGAACATTTGACCAGCTCTGTCAAATGCTTGATAGTATAGGGGGACTAAAGCCTATTAATAATGTGGCTGTCGATGAACAAGTGGCTATTTGTGTGCATATACTGGCTCATCCTGTGAAGGATAGGGTCATACGGTTCAATATTGGGAGATCTGGAGAAACTGTAAGTAGGTATTTTTCTTTGGTTCTTAATGCTATAATGGAACTATATGAAGAGTTATCGAAGAAACCTGAGCCGGTGCCGGAGGATTCAACAGACGAGAAGTGGAAGTGGTTCAAGGTAACGTTGACACATGGTTATGTTTTCATGGATTACTGCATTATACTAGAACTTTTCTTAGTTTTTCCAGCATTGTCTTGGAGCTGTGGATTGTGCTTATATCAAGGTGAAGGTGCCTCTGGCTGATCAAGGTAGGTATCGTAACAGGAAAGGAGAAATCACTACTAATGTACTGGGGGCTTGCTCTCAAGATGGACAATTTACCTTTATCTTTCCTGGATGGGAAGGATCTGCAACTAATAGGAGGGTGTTGTGCGACGCAGTTAGCAGGAGGCATGGATTTAAAGTTCCTCATGGTGAGTGTTTCAACTTATGGTTTTGTATTGATCTGTTCGTGATCTTGTTCTTAAGTGTACTGATCATGTTCTTGCTTTCATAAAACAGGTCAATATTATTTGGTTGATGGTTGGTTCACCAGTTGTGAAGGTTTCCTTGCACCATACAAAGGTAAAAGATACCGCTCAAACCAATTGAGAGAAGAGCATTACCCTGGAATATTACATGAGTGCTACAACACGCGACATTCTCTAGCACTTGATGTGATAAAGAGATGCTTTGGTTTGTTAAAGCTGAGGTGGGCGATTCTTAGGAACCCACCTTTTTTCAAAGCAGTTCGTACGTACAATCTGGTGATATTTGCATGCTGCTTATTGCAAAACCTTATTCGTCAAGATGGTGCAGACCCACTTGAGGATGAATTAGCTGACATGGAAGGTGAAATATTCAACGAGCTTATAGGCAAAAGCGCAAAGAGATGAACTTGGTCAGGATAGGTTGACTGTGATATATGTTAGACCGTTTTTTTGTTTTTTTTTTTTTTTTGGCCAAAGGATGAACCGGTTGATAAGTACTGTTTTTAATTTTTTTGATTTAATCATGCCCAGCACTCGACTTTCCGTCTTTGAGAAAGTTGACTGCTTCACTAGCGTATTAGGACAAGGTGTTGTCATCCACCAAGCGGTCCCCCGTATCCACCGTCTAAGCATTTTGCAGATTAACGGAGTGTATTTAGCTTATATTGGCACAAATATCAAGATATAGGAGCGAGTTATTAACAATTTTTTTTTTCTGCCTATTCGCTGTCTTTACCTGATCATGTTCGAATTTGGTAAATTGGGGGTGTTTCTTCACTATCGTTGTTCGATTGGGTTCCGAACTTTTAGAATTCAACCAAAATAATCTCCTCCAATCTGCTTGCTTAGTACTCGAGTGCTCCAAGAATAAACTAATTTTACGGCCAATCAAGAAATTTGAACCATGATTCGTCGTGCTGGGCTGTCTTAAACTATTATCAAAGATGATCTTATCACATCTATTATAAATGAAACATTGGTATTTACATGTCGTTTACTCGTCTGAAATAAATCGATCTAACTTACAACCAAAAGAATTAAAAAAAAAAAAAAAAACATGCGCCAATACGCCATCCACTACCCGCCCCCAGCTATACAACTTTCAGAATCCTACTAGAATGATTCACGTGTATGTAAAGTCTCAATAACGGGATGAACACAAAGGCGTCCTTCATTGAAAATTGGTTTGACAAGCAAAGCAAATTGTAGAAGTTGCTTAGTATTCTTCCTTGGGTCCACAGGAAAGCAGCATAAAAGCTTGCAGCAAACCGTAATATGCAGTAAGACATAAATGCTTCCACTCTCAAACCTGTGAATTTTTTATTATAAGAAATATGCAGTAAGATAACATTCAGACTAACCCCGCGCAAATTTTCATGGGAGAATATTTTCAAAGGACCATCAAAAGAATTTAATATGAAACAAGAACTTCTAAGTAAACATTAACAATTAATAAATGAAGTTCAAGTTTTAACAAGTATTTGATCGGCTGATCCATCAAAGTCCTTGTTAGAGTACCAACTATGCTAAACATGTACCTTCTCAAAATTCCTCAGAAGACTTTTCACACAAAAAATATAATAAACGGGCGCTCAAAAGATTTTCCGGACAACAAACTCGTTACATAAATTATTTACGCTCAATGAATGCAACAAGGTTCCCGTCCAAAAATGAAGATAACCAGCTTTCTTTGCATCAGCATCACTCCTTGCCAGGTAAAATATGTTTTGACATGAATGAATGCTGCATGCAGTTGTGTTAATATGCATTGTTATACATGCATGTACTCAGTTGTGCGTGGATGCATACATGATCATAATATCGACAAATGGATAGCAATGAGTTACGCTTACAGATTAAAAGCCAGCACAGACCAAAAAAAGTTCAGAGCAATTACACATTAACACTTACCCACATCTGAGGTAATCTTAGGAAGACAAAGGACAAGGAATATAAAACAACTGAGATTGTTGTAGCTGTAACTATGTTGTATACAAGACGTTTATCGTCTTTGCTTGGCACAAATGCTATTTTCAGTTTATTTGTCAGTTCAAAGAGCCTGTAAGAAATCTACGGGTAAACAGAATGTTAAATCAGAGTGAAACATTGTTTACAAAAATTCCAATATTTCATTATCATGTACTTACTGCAATATATATAGAAGAAACGAGCATAAAATTCAACATTGGGTAGTCTGGGATTAAAGAAAGCAATAATTTGGGTTGACCATCGGGAACGCCAGACCTGAAATCAATCGGACATGGTATAGGAGAATTTATTCGAATAATGTAAAATAAAATAAAAAAACGTGCGCACATTTCCTCAAAAAAAAAAAATAAAATAAAACATGAACACTTGTGCATCTGAGCATCAACACCTCGTCACCCACTTATATACATGCAATGAATGTGAAAGGTGTTTCCTCCCTTTGCATCATGATTAATTAGTAACTGTAACCAATTATTTTAAGCAAACTTCAACTAAATTGCAACATCTGGTAATTACATGAGGCATTTACAGATTTGGGGTCACCTTTTGTAATATCAAGGACAACACCATGTGGGACACAATACATGAGCACAAATGTATACCTTAACCAGATATGGATCTGGGAGATGTAGGTTTCCAATGTGATCTTTCCAAGCCATCTAGCAGAAGAAAAGAAACCAACAAAGTAATTCATAAATTAGTATTCTAATTCAAGAACATCAATTAGTTCAACTATTATTTGACAGCATCGACAGATAAATTCTCATTACAAGTGTATGTACGTCAAAATGTATGAGAGAAATTGTTGTGCCCCTGAGACAAGAGAGGGTCGAATAAAAATTGAACAAACATAAAGACCACTTACGCAAAAAGGGTCAAAGTGTAGCCTCGGAAACTCTGTGTAACATTTCGCAGGCATATGTATACGCTGTTAAAAAAATGATACATACATGAATATCTAATGTCTTCAATAACTCAGCAAAGCAAAAGAACATTGTGGAAATAAACAAATACGTTATAGGGATCCATGAGGTATATGGATGATATTTGTTGTAAGCAAGCTTGTCCAGCTTGTATATATACTCGAACCATAAATAACCGACCTAGAAATTAACTCAATTTGTCAGCGCTACAAATGAATAAAGAAAGCCAAAGGTTTATCGCTTACATGACATTAGAAAACCATTTAAGTAAGATACCAGTAAAGATATTAGCACAACAACAGCTTTGATTGATATTCTACGCTTGATTTCCATTTCCTCCAATTTCTCCATCCATCTTTCAACCTATCAAATTTCGTATCATTCATTAACGAATTCAACTTAAAAGGAAAAAAAAAGAAGATAGGGATGTTCCTACTTAAGATTCATCAATCAATCATAGAAAGGGAGATCTGTAGAGTTTTTAAATTATTTCTAGAACATGAATCAGAAACTTACAGTTGGATGATAATAAGCATAAATCATTCCAATTATCCAGATATAGCGATCAAGCCCTGAGCGGAAATGCCATTCATGCAGACGAGGAAAGTGAGATTTTGCAGGGTTAGGATCAGTATAACCTGCACGGAATCCCAGACTCCCAGTTAGCATGACCATAGTGCTTTTAGATGTAAGGTAAACATCACAAAAGTTACCAACCAAGCAGGAAAGAAAATGGGCTCCAGACCCATTCAAACACTCCAGGTATCTCCCATACTAGTATGACCACCAAGAAGCAACCAATGATTTTTGCTGCAATAACTGATCCAATCTCGTTGTACTTGTTCAGAATACCAAGTGCCCCATAAACCATGAGAGTGAAAAGAGTATGCATAGGACAGATGTAATATAACATATAACTGTTGTTAAGGACAACACAGCAGAACAACACCAAGAAATTAAGCCGCCACATCATCTGCTCAACCAGAAAAGCAACGTGAGGAAGACTTCACAGTCATAGCAGACTGGTTACCAAATTTTCAAAAGCATGCTTATAGTTCAAGATATTGGCATACCTGCGCAAACCTCGCTAGACTAAAATCTTTCCGTATGTAATAATACGAGAAGTTCCCAAAGCCAGTCATCCAGACGTATGCAGCAATGAATATACGAATTGCATTATAGATCTCAGATGCAGCAAAGTAATGGTACATCAAGAACAAAACCTGTGAGCAAGAAAGAGCGAGACCACAAGAAAGGCACCATATGTCAACTGGTAGAAGCATCAAAGCAAGACATCAATATGTTTACAACTGCATTATAAAAAGATCAGAAGGTCCAAACCAAATTTAAATTGCAATTCCCTCGTACTAAATCTACTTGTGCTGCTTTTGGATTTTCTTAATCTAGGAGTTTCAAACTCAAATGTTTTCTGAAAGCAGAATGATAGGAGAATTCTTAGATATGGCATCATGAAGTAGTGTTCAACCTGCATCCAGCCTTTCCATTCTTCAGTCTGGTGCCTATTCAAATAAAGTATGGATTTTCCAGAGAATGGAGACTTGTCATGATGTATCTTAAAAGAAGTCATTGCAGAAACTATGATGAGGAGGGAATAGAGAAACCAGAAGAGATCCCTGTTGTAACTCTGGAAGAAAGAAAATTGTCAGTTTTCCCCAAAAAACATATCAATAATACAATAAATATGTAATAGAGAAAAAGATAATAAATACACCTGTATATGAAACGTCCCAGACACACCAATCAGTAATTTGTACATGAAGGTTAAATCATTCCAGACAACATTTTATCTGTACCATGTGTAAATACAAAGAACCAAAAACAAAGAGTACCAGGACATAATACTTGAGCTGGAGTGCTCAGTTGTGCTAGCCTAAGCCCACTAATGTCTGGCACTTACAACAGTGGCAGAATAAATATGTATTGATGCAACAAATAATGTTGTTATCCTATATCTAATCTTATATATATATATATATATATAAAAATAATATTTTCTTTTATTTTATGCTCAGTTCCACTCATGTGTCTGCAAATCTCTTTTCACCTTACTAACTTCCACCATTCAGCAAAACTTGTTTTGTCTTCATTTTGCAAAACTGAAGCAACAAATCATAAAGAACTCTAATAACCATGGTTTTCCCTCACAACAGTTATTTCAATATTAAATTGCGAACAAACTCCAAATAAAGGTTTCAAGCTTTCACCCATATAACCGTTTGATAACCTAATAAAGAAAACTACAAAAGAGTGTCTGCAATAGCTACATGTATGACAGAACTAGAAATAAAAATCAAAATAAAAACATAATCATACAGAAACATTGCAAAATCTCTTGGTGGGTATTGGCTACAAAGCCACGGGAAACTTGCTGCAACTTGCACATGCTGAATAGCATATCCCATAAAAAATGGACAGAAATAACAAGTGAACTATAAAGATGAAGTAACAAAATTTACTAACCTTTTTTGATGAGTTAAACAGATCTGTACGATCACAGAAATAAAAGTAAGCCAAAAGGAGACCAAATTCAGACCTGGAACAGGGAAGAGCAAATGAAACGAAGGTCAGTATTTTGATGCAACTAACAAAGCATATTCTGAATCACATATTCCACTTACATTGCTCGAAGTGTCAAACGGTTTTCAATCAGAAAACTTTCATCCATCAAAAGGAATCTGAAGAAATAAATAAGAATGCCATAGTATACAAATTTAGATTAAGCAAAGATACAGCCATAACTACAGTAAG